TTTCGTACACCGAAAAGGATATCATACCCGACGAGACCATTGACAAGTTGTTCAAGTACATCGACGAAACAGACAAAGGCAGTGCACTGTGGTTCATCATCTGGGACCTTGAAGGTGGCGCTATCAACGACGTTGCACCTGATGCTACAGCCTACGGTCATCGTGACGCGTTGTTCTACCACCAGGCTTATGCTGTTAATCTCTTTGGCAAGGTCAGTCCCCATCTCATCTCATCTCAAATAGTCTAGCAAGCGTACTTACATCACCGCAGGTCAACGACAAAACCCGCAATTTCCTCAACGGCCTGAACAACGTCGTTCTCGATGCACTGCCCAACCACAATCAAGGAGCGTATGCGGGATACGTGGATCCGGCTCTCGGCGAGAACAGCGCGAGTCTGTATTGGGGCGGTAATGTTGAGAGGCTGGAGCGGATTAAGGCGGAGGTTGATCCGTTGGATGTGTTTCACAATCCGCAGAGTGTGAGGCCGGCGAAGAAGTAGATGGAGAAGAGGGTGCTGTTTTAGATAGAGGGGTGTGGCTTGGTGATGTGGATTTGCCTGGCCTGGAGGCTTAGGCTCGGAACAAGTTCCTATTCTCATAACAATTCTTTCAAAAATCCGTGCAACGATGTCGCGATCAGTATGTTAATGGTGTGTGATGACTTAAGTAATACCCGATTTGATTGGTTTCTTTCGTTGAACTTCTTTACGCTAACGCTTAACATTGTACAGATACATGACTGTAGAACTGGGCCATACCACATGTGTCACCCAACATAGCGCAGTTGTGACCGGTTGTCTCATGCCCAACGAAGGACATGAACTAACCTTCAATACATATTATGGGCTACGTCGTCAATCTGTTCTCCCCTCGTCGCCTCAACTCCAAAGAATCTCCTATGATATATCTACTGCATTCGCTAGCCAATTACCTTCAACTCAAGATATCGGCAGCCGCTCTCGTTGCAGAAGTGGTGACTACTCAACAGTCAGCAATGCCCAAAGGACACACCCGCTTCACGATGCGTGTTGGCGACGGGGTACCTAAGAAGCCTGTCGTACCCCATCGATGTTACCGCCGTGAAAGACTCGATCGAGACAAGAGCCTGAAGAGCAGGATGCGCTGTAACAGTCATTCTGAAGCATTGCGCGCTGTGGCGAACGTTACTACTACTATTGCGTCTATTCCAGCCCGTTCTGTCATGGCGAACGTTAGGGCATTGAGCGTGTCTGTAGCCATCGTCGTTACAGCTGCGCTCTTCTGGATTTTTCGGGATAGGTAGATTGGCAGAGCAGACGTTGAGTTGTGTTGAGTTGGGTCTGACAATCCTTTCGCTGTCGTGATTGCTGGCTGTGTGTGAATGAGACGGAGGCTGGCTCCTACATGGCTCCAGCGAGGATTTTCCGAGAACTTAGTTACGTTCATCAACAAAAGGTGCGTCTCTACTGCATCTGAAAAGAGTTATTCGCATAACAGTTTGGATGGTCCTGATTTGGTGAACGGGCGCAATACAATTGGTGAACGGTGGCGTCGGTGCATCGGGACGCTGAAAGTGGCCTCTCTACATCGATGATGCGACTGCCTACAATGTTACAATTCATTTGTTTTATTTTTCGGGGCTTCGTTTACGATCGATGCTTTCTGCTACAATTACAAGAGTTATTGATGGAAATCCTGTGCTGCCCAGGGAATGTGTGACTTGTCGAGGTGGCAAGCCTTCCAGGTTGTCTGTGCGGTCATGCACTAAAGATTTTCGTCCCCAGCGCCGATGGACCCTTGCATAATTTCCACTACTCCTGCCATCGATATCATCAGAATCAAGTGCCGAGCTCACCTACATTGACCGTGTCTCTCCCGAAACTCCCATATCCAAACAACTGGTCATGGGCCGTTCGTTTGTATGTTGACGTTGCGCTGGTACGCACCGTGTGGCGCGTGTCCTGTGGTCCAATCAGGATGTCGCGTACGAAACAAAGCACTTTGCTGACATACTCCAGTCGTTCCGTAGTATAGGCTGCGTGCTTCTGTCATGATGCCGCGGAAACCTTTCCTGGGATTGAGGCGTTTTCGTCATCATCTAACTCTAAAGCTCTTTGGCCGCCCCGACACGTTCACAAACCATCTGAGGAGTTTCTTAGGCTACGATCGTCGGCCAGAAAACATGCAGAAACTTGGAAGGTTATTATCGGGGGGACGCAGCCCGCTACCTGAACATTTTGGTCGAAAAGCTCGTATACCCGACCTTTTTGATCGGAGAGATCAAGTTTACCTGGCGCTTGAGGCCCAGCGGTTGCATTGGCATATGCCCCCACCGTACGCCTATCATGATCTGCTTGACGCTGCAGCGAGAGTGGGCCGTATTGAAGGGATCATGGGCTACAAGTTCAAAGACAAGATGATCTGCATCGAAGCGCTCAAGACCACTTCGGCGACTACACCGCTTTATTTCGATGGGGTCATTCATCACATAGACAAAAACAACCGCCTGGCATTGCTAGGTGATCGAGTTATCTCTTTAGCTCTATGCGATGTTTGGTTCAAGACAGGAAATACCAATGGTATGTACTGCATATAGCTCTGGTGCTTAAGCTAATACAGCGAATAGCGGAATACACTTCGATGCAGCCGGATATAGAAAGCAGAGTTGGTTTGGGTAAGAAAGGATACGCGCTCGGTATAAACGACAATCTGCTTCTTCACGAGCGGCACCCCTCCACATTTAATCATGTTGCCGAGGCCTTCGAAGCTGTTCTTGGTGCTATCTACTTGGACTCTGGGAACAACATCGAAACCGTTAAGGAAGTTATCACCGGAATCAAGCTCGATAGTCACAAGGGATTAGAAGAGCAGATTACGGCCCAAGATCGTCTGGACAATAAAAGGCTTGCGGCGCTGCAGTACTCTGATTATATGAGGAACCAAGCTGCGTACACTAAGAAAGCCCAGCTGGAGCATGATGCAGCACTGGCAGCGAAAGAAGCAGCAAAACTGGCGGAAAAACAGGTGGCAGATCAGCCTAGAGAGGAGGCACAAGAAGACAATATGTCCACCAAAAGTCAAATACACGATGGACACTCGGGAACAGTTCAGCCTCAAACTAAGAAGAAGAGCAGCGTTGCGCTCACACATGCGGAGGCCTCGAAAAATCTAGCCGATTCCGTGATCGAATACCGCACGAATGGTCACCCGAGTGACGCAAAGGATCTGGGCCGACTTGGTAGACAAGACGCGCAACGCCAAAGTTCAGCCTCGAAGGAAAAAGCACCATCGAAGAATTCCAATCAGGGATCAGATTCAAAACTGCAACGACGCGCGGTCGTAGCTGCCAACAAGCTATCGAAAGAAGGCTACCTATCAAATGATGTCTTGGAACACGATGACAAGAAAACAGTCTCTAAACGCCAAGATTTGCCAACATCTCACGTCGAGAACCAGGACAAGGTAGTCACCCAAGGCACCAAACTATCGCCGGAGGAAGAAGCAGATGAGTTTGTCGCATCGATGAAGTTTCCAGCAGAAATAGAATCATCTGAGGGCTTAAAAAGCAGTGAGAAACGCATCCTGAGAATATCATGGGACATGGCGGTACGAAAATGCGCCGACAGCATCAGAATTAGCGAGGAGAGAGACTTTGAGGGAACGTTTGCGCATAGGTTGAAGCGAATGGTACGGTACCAGGTAAATGCTGGTTTAGTTAAAAACGAAACGAAAGAAACGATTAGGCTTCTCCGCCTGTCAGCAAGGCTTCGAGGCCACAGCTGGGGAGAAAAACAGGAGAAGACATATCGCAAGACCAATTCAAAGGTTCCAATCAAACCTAGTCGAGAGACAACACAGGCACCGGTGAGTGTTTCACCAGAGCCGAAAGCTGCGACGGCAACGAAAGCAAATCCTACACCACAAGAGACAGATCCTGCACTGGAGATAGTAGGCACTGTACAAGAGAAATCAGAGCCTCTACTAGAGACTGGTATGAACAACGATAAGCCAGTCCAAAGACGCTCAAACTCGCCAAAGGAATCCCATCTTGCAGACGCAGCCACCACAGAGATGGAAGATGAAAAGAACATACAAGTGCGCACCAAGGATGTCGAATCGCTAGAAAGAGATATTCTCAACTCGCATAACACCGTATGGCAAACGGCCGATACCGCAGATGCGTCAACATCAGAGCAGCACAGCGGACGCACAACTCGTGCACGCCGTTCTGCTGCGGATGGCCAGGCGGAGAAGCCATCTGATCTTAACGAATTCTTCGAATCGGACACGGATAGGTTCATGTCGAGCATCACGCAAAACGACTCAGAAGCGTCCGACGCCCCTCAACCGAAACCTCATGAGGAATCTGAGATGCAGTCTTCTGACTCTTCTAAGGAGCAAGGAGAATCTTCCGCCCCATCTGCAAGGACAATAAAACAAAAACGTCCCAACCGAGCCACGCGTCGTCGATCACAACATTCATGATTGCTTTTGCTCCTGGCTACAGGTACGCCAGCTGCTTGTCTATTACCGTATATGCGTCGATGCATGTGTACAATACAGTCCGAATGTATGATAACTCAGCGAGACATGCCTTTACAGTTGTATATCCATGCCTGGAAGAGTACGTGTAACATATTTGTCGCAATATCGAGATACAGAATGCGAATCTGCATTTACCCGCTTCCAGAGCCATTGACGTCTGCTTTTGAGGTCTTGCAGCCTGGCAAAGGCATCTATCTTAACCAGCTTCGCAGCAAACTTACGATTAGTGAGCTACTGAACATGTCGCCAAGTATCAATACGAGTTGTTGTCGTCGGCTAAGTTGGCATCGCGTCTGTGCATTAGGCGGCAACCTCGAATGTGCTAACCTCTTCTCTACCAGCGGCACAGCGAGATGTCTACTAAAGTGACATATTCCTCGCTTCAACCCTCAACGCGAGAGGTTAATACAACTAGATTTCAACATGGCATCCCACAAGCGCCCACGACTTCCACCCACCCAATTAGCCGCCATAATGAACGACTATTACACCTTTTTGACCACTCTCTACATACCATGTTCAGCATTGAAACACCCGCCTCCGGGAGGATGGCCGAACATTACTGCAGAGGCGACAAAGAGTCTGGACAAATCGCCTGTTGTCATTGAGGTCATGAAGCATTTACCATACATCGATGAGGCCGAGTCCGGTGAGATGATCACGAACATTCACTACAAGAGCGATGTGGTAGACTACTCCACATACACAGCAGAGGACTTTGAGAAGTACGATGTATCGTATGGAGAAGACGGGCTCAAAGTTTGCATTGAAGAGATGGAGGAGCGGAGGAGAGAAGAAGAAGAAGCAGAAGCAGAAGAGGAGGAGGAGGAGGAGGAGGAGGAGGAGGAGGAGGATAATAACGACACAACTGAGGATGAAGAGAACAACATCAACGAAGATGAAGAGCACAGCGAAGACGAAGAAACCAATAGCGCCGACGAGGATGCACCGCACGACGAAGGTTACTCTTCCGACGAAGAAGAAGACTACGGCGACGACCCCGACTCCGTCGACATAAAAGACATCCTCCTCCTATCCATGGGCTACGAATCCGGCGGACGGATCCTCCTCCTCGACGTGCACAAAGGCATCATCCACGAAGACATAGTCCGCTGCAACCTCGTCTCTGGCGTATGGATAGAAGACTTCTTCGACGATATGAAGGACAAGCTCCGAAGGCTGGATTGCGTACCCGTAAGAGGCGAGTTCTACGAGGGCGTGCCTGAGGTGGAGGATGTTGGACCGGTGCCTGAGACTGCGGATGAGTCTTTGGATGAACATGACGAGGAGCATGTGAAGGTGTACAAGAGGATTTATCGCAAGTTTGGGTGGCCGGGGAGGGAGTATAGGAAGGATGAGGCGATGGACGCGGTGGAGAAGTATCGGGTTAGTGCTTGGGGGTATTGATGCGGAGGTTGTGGTAGAGAGTAGAGTTGATAGAATGAATTGAAGATAGTCACCACAGATGAATCATCCTAGCATCGCATAACCGTAGCCGTTGCACTAATTACAGTAGCAACGGCGGTGATACCATAACGCCACGCATTCGTCCTCGCCCACGTCTCAGCAATAGTCTTCATGTCCACCTTCTCAGCCCACTTCTTCGCGGCTTCACTCGCCGTATCTTTATCTGTACCCTGCCCAAAACCCTTCAGCACAACGCTCTCATCACGTAATATCTCTTGGGCTTTCCATTTTCCGGCGCCATTAACTCCAGGCTCCATGTACAGGGCTGTGTACGGGATGATACTAACATTTACAAGTCCTGCAACAGCGTACAGGAGCCTTGCGGAAGAAGATTGATCATTGCAAAGGTAGGCGAGGAGAATGTTGGTTGAAGCGCCGGATAAGATGAGAGGCGCGACGAAAATAGGTGCGAATTGGTAGGCTTGAAGCCATTGCTTTGCTAGCAGTTTTGGTGGGGCGTGCGTGATGAGGGGTGGCATGACGACATGACTGTATGCGAAAGTGAAGCCTGGCGGATCAAATTGTTAGCGGGCGGATTTGCATAGTTTTGACATCAGTGTACCTGTGTATATGGCTGGCGCGATGGTTGCGATTGCTTGTAAGATGGGCACGATGGGAATGGAAGACTCGTTCATCGCGGTTGGTTACAATGAGATGGCGCTCGACGTGCGGTTGAGAGAATATGTCGTACGCAGGATACTGTAGGAGTTATCTGAAGTGATCTGTCAATGAACCGTAGATGTAGGCGCTTGGGGTACAGAGCTGACGTACTAGCGCGGTGTTTTGGATGCATCAGCATGCCTTAGCTGCATATTCTGGAACAACAGTAGAACGAACGAGATCTTCCAAGATCTACATGGGCTGAAGCACGTATTTATAGCATCAATATGATCTGCACCTAGGCTTTTGTGCAAAGACGATCATGTGGTTTTGCGCAGCCCTGTCGTGAAATCAGATAAGCCTTACTTGTACAGGTATACTACAACTGATCCAGCAATCCCAAGACCTCTTGCCTGAGTTCACTCAAACCAACATCCTTCTTGAACCCTAACCTCCGGCATTGTACCTCTACTTCTCTCCTGTCTGTCCAGCCTCTGCCTAACACAACGACGACCGGATATCCAATCAATTCTGCATCCTTCAATTTCCACCCTAAGCTCTTTACCGCTCGATCATCCATCACAAGATCCACATCTCCATTCCGACCTTCACCGTAGATTGCGTCGTACACTTCTGCTGCGTCGCTCTCATCAACCTTTGGAGATGTGAGGATGACGGCTTCATAGGGTGCTATCGCCCTTGGCCAGTTCAGTCCTTTGGGGTCTGAGAGTAGTGATGCGACAGCTCCGATGATGCGCGAAACGCCGATACCATGGCAGCCCATTTGTATTGGAGAGGAGAGGTTTTGGTCTGGCAAGGCAACGACTGCGTTGAGGGGCTTGCTGTACCGGGTGCCGAGGTGGAAGGTGTGGCCTACTTCGATGGCTTTCTGGACGTCGAGTTTTCCGTCCGAGCAGCGAGGACATGGATCGCCAGTTCCCACGGGCGTGAGATTTAGTTTGGAAGACAGAGGATTTGAGAGTGACCTATCGTTCTTATCAAAGGCAAGGGAGGGGTCGAAGAGGTCGATGGTATCTCTGCCCTTTCGGAGCAGAGAAGCGAGTGATGAGGATTCGATACCGGTGTCCAGCTCGATCTCCTCTGGAAGTGCTTTCTTGACAGCGTGAAGATTGACATGCTCATGTCTCTGTCTTACATCCGTCTCACTCTCGGATGGACGTGGTATCCACACGTTGATCTTTGTCTTTTTATCGACGCTTATACCTGTGTACGCCAGCCAGCTGTCGGTACATGACGCTACAGCTTGGCCGCTCTTTTCCACAAGCTCCTCGTTGGCGACGTAGTCGCATGAGTTGCAAGACCATACGTTGTCTTCGCCTTTGGGAGAAACAAAATGATACTCGTGGCTCAGTTTACCTCCCATGTTGCCAGAATCGGCATCGGCGACTAGGTACGGCAGTCTGAGCTCGTTGAATAAATTGTTGTATGCTTCCCGTACTTCTTCGTATGTCTTGAGCGCGGCTTCTGTTGAGTGGTCGAATGTGTATAGATCTTTCATCATGAATTCCTTGGCCCGTAATAGCCCTTGTCTTGGTCTTCGTTCGTCGCGGTATTTGCGTCCAATCTGATACAGCCTCTGTGGCAGATCCTTATATGAATGTACCATACTGGCTACAAGTGCGGTGATCTCTTCCTCATGAGTTGGCGATAGTAAGAAGCCAGATTCTCTTCTGTCTTTGATGCGCAGGAGTTCAGAGTTTGCGGAGTAGCGACCGGACTGCCGCCATAACGATTCCGTGGTGATGGAAGAGAGCGAAAGTTTCGAAGCACCAATCGAGCTCATGTGCTTGTCGATTAGCGATTCAAGCTTATTTTGAACGCGTAAACCTAGGGGTAGGAGATGAAAGACTCCTGAATGTGCCTGCGCATGATGAGACAAGTGCTAGAAGTCAAGAGGTTGTAGATGTATACCTGACGGAGAAAGCCACCTCTAACGAGAAGAGAGTGAGACTCATCTGAAGAGTCGTTAGTCAACGAGTGCTAGTCGCTCTCATGATCCTCACCTTGCTCGCTGTCGTGGGGTGATATACCACCCGTTGGTGCCCAGAATTTGGATAATCGATTTCTTGAGTCGGTCTAACTCGAACATCAGCCTTATCACCAAGAACATGGAACTTGATTGGGAACGACTTACACCTATAAATCTAGCATGTCGAAAGCCTTGTATTGGTGTTCGCTGTGATCGCGATTGCCATGCAGCTCTACGAATATACGCCGCCATGCGCGCACAACAATGACGATATTTGATTGAAAGCACGCGAAAGAGTTTATAATCGCCCAGTCACTATTAGACGAAAACAAAAGAGTGGAAATGTTGGATGTTCCGTAAGTGGTGCACAACAGCGGGAGATCTGCCTCCAACATGATGAGCACAGACCACGTCGAATCCCAAAGCGCATGGAAATATTTGGAGATCGAACCCATCTCTCAATTGCTCCACGACCACATCCCACGTAAGCATAGCGATTCCTATACTGGGACAGTATATCTTGGGAAGGTACTAATCGACATCCAGCATGCCTCCACGGATACGCATCAGGCCACGCGCCCTCCGCGCCTGCACCTCGAACCCAACCCACCCCATCTCTCTACCCGCAATCGCGACCTACGCCACAGTAGCAGCGACCACCCCCGCACCCCCAATCCAGCAGACATACAAAGCCGCACCACCAGTACTACGATACCCACCCACGCAACCACCCTCTCACAAGCCGCCGGAGGTCCGCAAAACCCAACTCCACCGGCAATACCAATCGCTACTCCGATCCTCGCCTCTGATCCTGATATTCCAGCACAACAATGTGAAAGCGGTAGAATGGATGAGCATAAGGCGGGAGCTAGCCATCGCGCTCCGCAAGCTGGATGCGGAGAGAGTGAAGAACGGGCAAGAGACGCTTGCAGAGGAGGTTAAGATGCAGGTCATCCAGACCAACATCTTCGCAAGCGCACTGCGCGTCGTCGAGTTCTTCAACCCGGAAACTTCGACAATGGATCATGCGCAACATCCTACGGACCCGCGGACACCGACGAGCGCGCAGATACCGAACACGAGTAATGACGCAGCGGACGAGCGCTTTACACACGGTCTGTCGAGACGGGCATACGAGATTGCGAATAACAGGAAGTTGAAGTTGGAATTGGAGCCTCTGCTCTCGGGTCCCCTTGCCGTCGTAGCGTTCCCCGATGTTGCGCCGCAATACCTCAAGACTGTCCTGTCCATCCTCTCGCCTTCGAAGCCCGGATTCCCCGCTCCAAGCCGAAAAGCGAACCCAGACTACTACGAACCAGCCGTTCAAGCTGGACTCCAGAAGCTGATGCTTTTGGGTGCGCGAGTAGAGGGCAAGGTCTTCGATGTAGACGGCACGAAGTGGGTTGGTGGTATTGCCGGAGGCATCGATGGACTCCGCGCCCAGCTTGTACAGATGCTGCAGGGTGTTGGTGGAAGTCTTACTGGTGCTTTGGAAGGCGCGAGCAAGAGTTTGTACTTTACTGTCGAGGGAAGGAGAATGGACATGGAGGAGAAGGAGAAGGGTCCCGAAGAGGAGAAGAAAGAGTGATTGCGAGAGCAGTGTACATTATTTGTATAGCCATTGACGCAGAATATACGGGATCGACGTACGAGGCTGAGGTATGGCATTGTCATTGTTTGTGTGCGTGTCGAATGAAGTCGATATACCCGATCTCGTTGTTTAATGGAGTATGAAGTCGTGTAACCTTTCTCTACTGTTCGCTTTCTAGAGACTTTGTTATGATGATCGTTGAGATCTCACGAAGTACCGTAGCGGCAAACCTCCAGGATATTTTCTGTAATAGTGAACGTTCGATTGAGGTCATTTCTTCTATCCTCAGGGCAGACTGTGAGAAGTAACTTCATTTCACTCCTCTTCACCACGCAAAAGTCAAGCCTTGATTTATACTTTACGATTCGATTCGTTTTATATAGGTATCCACATATGCTGCGTGGTATCCTAAGGGTATCATGAGGGATCTGCCTGCCCAAATATGCACACTTGGAAAGATTTGTAGTGGAAAATAAAAAGAACTCCCCTTCTTTCTTTCGAGACAGAACCCGCGCGCGCGCAGACACACACAGAAAAAAAAGACACAAACTCAAAACGTCCTGGGCGCCCCAATCTGGTTCCTCGTATATATAGGAGAGGTATAGGAATGTCGTGGTCGTCATATCCCAATTCGCTCGATCGATCGCTCGCTCGCTTCACTCCTGCCGCGCATTATGCCAATAAAGAATAGTTTGGTGTGTGTGTGTGAGGGTTGGTGTGGAGAAGCATGTTCAGTCGAGCTCAATGTCGCCGTTGCTT